GAATCAGAGTTGGAATTATAAATATGTAATATTATTTTTATATATTTATATAATTTATATATAACTGCTGAACCTCTTAAAATATATTTTAAGAGGTTCAGCGGTTCACCTGTTTAGGTTCAGCAGTTCAAAGTTCAATCTGGGCGATGATGAATCAATGACCAGTCAATCAGCCAGTCAGTCAAAACAAGTAATTTTATATACAGTACAGCGTCGTTTATCCGAATCAATTGGGGACTATGGTTGTTCGATAACTTATTTTTCGGATAACAGATTGTGTACGAAAATATATTAAACTATCCCATGTTGAAATTTTTCTCCGTTGCGTGTTGCTTCGCGTCGAATTTTCGTCGATGTTAAGCCAAACGTAAACTTTTTAAAATAATAATCGTGGCTATTGTATCGTTAAAAATTATATCTTTATTTTTTACAAACAAAATAAATATATTGAAATATATAAAAACAAACAAATTATACTTTAGCAGTTAATTTAATATCAAAAACGTTCAATTCAGCATGACACACAGTTTTTAGAAAAACACCACACAACTGCCAGTGTTGCCAGTGTAAAACACACATCAACAAAAAAAAATATTCGAGTAGTCCAAGATATAGCCAAAGTTTGCAGCGCCAAAGCATTAGCGAAAATTTACTTTGATCACTGGAATTCATTCGGATAACTGATGATTCGGATAACCGACTTTCGGATAAACGACTCTCTACTGTATTGACATAAAAATTCCGATTTCTTGTATATAGTATTGTTCCACTTATCCTTTTTTATACGAATACTTTAGTATGCAGCTTATTGCGCTCTGCATCAGTTCGAATCAGTAAGAGTGATTCTTCTGACATTAAATTCTTTTGTAATATTATTTCTTATTTGACTTCCCCTACCAAAAAGAAGAGAACTATCTATTGCTAACAGGAAAAGTATAATGTACAAAGGCTAAACACTACTACATTTCATCGCTTGCAAGTTTTGTGTTAAACCTGTGGAATGGCGTAATGGCGTATCTACCTTGTATTTCGCGCTATATCATTGCTGTAGTAATTCAGTGAATATAATATATATAATTGTAGAAAAATATATAAAAATACAACGTTTAACAAAAGTAAATACTTCGCTTCGATTATTCTTCTGTTGTTAAATCAAAAGTATACAGGCGACCTTTTTTAGATGCTACTACCACCGCTATAAAATGTAAATATGGTTAAAAAAAGGTTTTTCATGCTATTTATATTGTAAGTATTTACTTTTGTTAATTAAACGTTGTATTTTTATCAGGGGCATGCCGTGACATTTAATGATAGGGAAGCTGTGTTTTTGTAACAAGCCGACTTCCAGGGGCAATCAGTCAGCAATCGTCTAGGGTCCATTCGTATTCGTTTGTTCGATAAGCCAGTAAAAACCGTAAACTTCTCTAAATGTATTTTTAATTAATAGATTATCAAACGCGCTTAATAAATAAGCGAGTTCAATATAATTAACTCTGTTATATTAGATTTAATAGATTTTCTACGCTCTCTAAATGCCAATTATCGCTTCGCTAACATCTACTAATTAAAATATATCTATTAGCCGTAATTATCTCGTGATAATTTTCAATATATATTTTATATTGTGTACTAATGTTAAATTCTATTCTATTTTGATTTCCAAATTGCTTTAATTTTACGAAAGATTCGATGCGAGATGTAGGATTTTCGTGTCTTTTGCCAGCTTTATCAAAATTATTTAAATCGTCAAAGCCAATCTCATTCTACACAGTAATTTTATTTGAAAATAGCAGGCAAGACCAACAAAACAATTTTTGCATTTTTATGCATCCACAAAGCCATTTTATATCTGCATAAATTTTATCGTGAAAATGTCGAACAAAGTTTTTTGTCGACGTATTTATATTTAATTTAGGCATTGGTCTTTCTCTTTTAATAATGTTTTCTTTTTCATTATAAGGTGTGGAGCCAAAACTTTTTGAAATAAATTTTCACTATCACAATTACATTCTAAATTGCTAGCTATAATATAAAGGCTAAAATTAAAAATAAAATTATAAAAACTTACTTGTTAAAATAAAATGTGTGATGGATATACAATTATACATAACTGGTACAAAATATTCTATTGTATGAACATAGTTTTGTGAAGAAACGTACATAAACTTAGCATAAGATATTCTTTACTTTTTAAATATTAAAACAATCTATTTAGTTAAAAGTGTCCCTATCAGTGACTCGTGGATGGAATCAGAGACGATCTTTGTAGGGGTGCGGTGCGT